GAGAGAGAGAGAGAGAGAGAGAGAAAGAAGAAGAGTGGAAGAAAGAAAAAAAAAAAAGATAGAAATAATAAAATGGTCGAAATAAAAAGAACAATATAGTAATTTTAGAAATATACATATATCGTTTTTATAGATTGTTTACGTATTATAATTCGAGAATGAAAGAAACTTTTCTCAGTTCGCTTCGATAGTAGAATTTCTTCTCGTACTGTCTTTTACTTTCTTATTCTTCTTCTTCTTTTTTATTTTTTTTTATTTTTATTTTTATTTTCTTTCTCTCTCTCTCTCTCTCTCTCTCTCTCTTTTTTTATTTCTTTTTTTCTTTTTTTAACTTAAAGGATTTGAAAGAGATTGAAATTCTGTACGTTCCAAGGGAATCAAACATCTCTCCTTTTCATTTTCTTTTTTCTTCTTCCTTTTTCCTTTTTATTTTCTTTATTTCTTCGTAATATTTCTCTCTCTCTCTCTCTCTCTCTCTCTCTCTCTCTCTCTCTGTCTCTGTCTTTGTCTCTGTCTCTATCTTTTTCTCTGTCTCTGTCTCTCTATCTGCGTCTGTTTTTATCTATCTTTCTTTTCAATCAGTATAGACAATATCTTTTCTCCATAATATATCATTTTATCTTTCTTCAAACAAACCGACGGAGTCAGTACGCGAACGAAATTCCTAAATAGAAATGGCCTGGTCCTGGTCGAAGCCGTTGCGCATTGCAGCAACCCCAATACAAACACTACCCCTCGAAGCAGTATGTACCATCTAATGCAGTAGTGGTAGGGGTGGTTTATATCAGAGCGCTGCTCGCCACTACGGGCCAGAGCATTACGAGCGTTTTGTAATCGCATCGTCGTTTACGTTAGCAAAATCTCTTCATATATTTTATTGATATATATATATATATATATCAATGAGAGAAAGGAAGAGAGAGAGGGAGAGAGAGAGAGAGAGAGAAAGGGAGATTTAATAATATATCTCACGTAAGTATTCATATAAGTTTTTACGATTAATCAACTATGATATTACATTTGTTGTTGTTGTTGTTGTTGTTGTTGTTGTTGTTATTATCGTTGTTGTTGTTGTTGTTCTTGTTTTTTTTTTCCTCATTTTTTCTTCCTTTTATTTTTCTTTCTCTTTTATATTTTTTTTTCTTTGTTTTTCTCTCTTTCATTCTTTCTTTCTTTCTTTTAATCATATTCAAACTCATTAACCCTTCGACAATAGAAAAATAAAATTGTACGCCGTGTAATTTTACTCGCTCTATTAATTCTTATACAAGGCTAATGGTCGAACGAAAAAAAAAAAAAAGAGAAAAGGAAAATGGTAATCATTTTCATTTTTGAAAACGTCGTTAGGAAGGAGTGATAAGGTATACAAAAAAAAGAAAAAAAAAAAAAAGAAATAAAAAATAGGTAAGTGGTTGTTATCGTTTTGTTATTGTTATTCATTCAGGAAGTTCAAAAAGAACGTTTGAAATTTATGAGAGACAAAATAGGTATTTAAAGATTCTTTTCTTTTATATTAAACTTTAAAAGACTCTTCTATAATCTTGATATAATTTTTTCCAATTTTTTTTTCTTCACTTCTTCTTTTTATTTTCCTTCCTTCCTTCCTTCCTTCCTTCCTTCCTCCACTTTACTTCTCCTTCTTCATATTCTTCTTCTTCTTCCTCTTGTTTTTCTTTTTCTTCCTTTTTTTTTTTTTTTTATTCTTCTCTCCTTCCTCTTCATTTATTCCCCTTGTGACACTGATCTATTTAACTACGTTTAGAAATTCCCGATACATCGAACGTGAGGATAAAAATGCGCTCAGGATTTTTCTTCTGTATATAAATTTTCATGCCATTAGCAACAAAAAAAAAAAGAAAGAAAGAAAGAAAGAAAGAAAGAAAGAAAGAAAATGAGGAGAAAAAAAAAAAAGAAAAAATAGACGCTTAGTATATACTCTAAGTGGAGTCATGCTTTTGAAATCTATAAAAATAAACGATATCAAGATCGCGAATTATGATCTATCTTGGTAATGCAATTAACTGCGTTCCGTTATGGAAATTCACTCGAGCGATATGAAAAGCATCTACGTATGTACGTAACCATATATGTCCGTACATACATATATGTACATATGTATGTATGTATGTATATAGATATACATACGTATATGCATACATTTCAATTGACGTTTCTGAGAACATTGAAAAACTTAATGATTTCTTTGCACGCGTACAAATGATAATAATAATTTCTATTTTATACCCATTGTCCTTTATAATTGTATTGCAATTCGTCTTTTTTCTTTCTTTTCTCCTTTCGTCATTTCAACTTTTACAGAATGTTGTTGTAAATTCAAAAAAAAAAAAAGAGGAAAAGAATAAAGTAAATAAATAAATAAATGAAAAAGGAAAAGAGGAAGAAGAAAAATTGCATTGGTTAAATCTTTTACGAAGCTTATGCGAATTAGTAATTCCTTTGATTTTAGTAAGGCGTTTAGATATACGAGAAATAAAGAAAAAAAAAAAAAAATAAAAAAATAAAAATAAAAAGAAAAATTAACTTCGACGTTCAAATAAACGAATTCTAATAAAATAAAGAAATGAAATGTTAATTAATATTCGTATAAACGAATACGATATTTCTCTTTACGATGGCAAATGCAATTTAGCGGAAATGAATTTTTACGATTGAACATTGGCACGATTCAATTGGCTATTGGTGCATATAGTCTTATGCGAATGGCCATTGGTACAACTCCTCGAGTTATATAAGCAATTCAATTAACAGAAGTATCGTGTTCTTGTAAAATCTTTTTTGTAAAATTTTTTTTTTTTTTTTGTTAATACCTCCGAGTGAATACATAGACGTACACGATTCTCCCAAAGAATACGCATTAAGGACATTTCGGTGTACTCGATTAAAGAACAAATATGATTATAATTAAAAAAGAGAATAATTTTTAAAAACGTCAATGCGTATATAATAAAATGTACATTAACGAAAATGATTTTTTAAATCAATTCAATTCAATTCAAATATCCTTTCGAGTAATATGATTATTTATTAAAAAATGTTCTTAAAAAGAAAAAGAAAATATATATATATATATATATATATACATATGTATAAATACATAGGCACAACAATTTGCTTTATCCTTTCATTACTTTTTAATTAATAATAATAATAATAATAATAATAATAATAATAATAATAATAATAATAATAATGAATGCTTGGTTTTTATACTTATATAACCCGATCTACCTATAATCGATAAACAGATATATTTACTTGCAGCTAACTCGTTCGGACTTTGTTTATTTCTCCAAAGGAAAAAAAAAAAACGAAAAAAAAAAAAGAAAAAAAAAGCGAAAAAGAAAAAGAAAAAAAAAGAAAGGAAAAAATAAAAATAACAACAATTGAATTGCGTTAATCCAATGCAAACACGTGCATTATATAAATTTATTTTTAATAATGAAGGACGAAATGTGCATACATACGTAAATGGATATGGTATATAATTTCAACGTTATTCCAAATTTAAGATTTAATAACTCAACATGAACGGTTTTATCCTAAATATGTATATACACGCATATATATATATATATATATATATATATATATATATATATAGAGAGAGAGAGAGAGAGAGAGGATAATGGTTCGAAAATGATAAAATGTTGGTTATGGAATATGTAATAAGGAATATAGGATGTTTCATTTAATGATTTAAATCCGACTTGTACATTGCTTTCCCCCCTTTCCCCCTGCCTTCTCCATGATAATCGTCATGTTAAATAATTATTATCACATTGCACGCCCCTACTCCTCTTCCCCACCTTCTCCCAATTAACGTCATACAATATTCGTTCGAAAGATTTTCTTTTTTTCCCCTTTTTTCTTTCTTCCATTCTCTTTCATTCTTTTTCTTTCATTGCACTTGCATTGCCTACAATTAAGGGAAATAATCGCTCGTACATACATTTGAAATGTCCATTTGTTTCTTTTCTCTCTCTCTCTCTCTCTCTCTCTCTCTCTCTGTCTCTCTCTCTCTCTCTCTCTCTTCCTTTTCTCCTGTTTTCCATAAATTATATTTAAAAAATGAAAAAGAACACGCGAAATTTTAATCATTATAAATGTTAACTCGTTTCCTTTCCTTTTGTTGCCTGTTTTTTTTTTCCCCCTTTCTTTTCTTTCTTCGCTGTACTATTTTTTATTTTCTTCTTTTTTCTTTTTTTTTTTTTTTTTTTTGAAATATACCACTTTTTAATATAACTCATATTTTTTGGACTCATTTTTAATATACTCAGATTTATTTTAATATACTGATATTAGTTGTATTATGTGAAGATATTAAATAAATGCGTTCGCGATATAAAATAAAAGAAAATTAATTTTTTAGAAGGGAGCGAGGAGGAAGGGGAAATGCAGACGTGTTCACTCGGCGGATCACTTGAAATATAATTACAACTTCGTCGCCATAGTTAATGGTATTGCTCGAATGAAAACTGCATTCAGTACGGACTAGTAATTATGCGAGCATTGTTACATAAATGTTATGAGAGGTACACTAAAAAGAATTCTCTCTCTCTCTTTCTCTCTCTCTCTCTCTCTCTCTCTCTCTCTCTCTCTCTCTCTCTTTCTGTCTCTCTATCTATCTCTCTCTTTCTGTCTACCCTTTTTTTCGAACTTAACAACATTTTCTGTTGTTAACACACATATTTGTTTTTCTCATCAAAGTTTATTCGCGAATTTAATTTATTTCACATTTTAAAAGGAAATAAAAAAGAATAGAATAACTTAACGTTAATTTATTATTCATTAATGATTAACTTTTTTTGTTTTTATATATATATATATATATATAATGGAAAAGTAATTAATTTTATTTATGATTTTTATTTATTTCCATTGATTACTTTTTTTTTTCTTTTCTTTTTTTTTTTTTTTCGTGTCTTTGATTAACCATAATCTTTTATTTGTAGTCGTTTATTTGAAGTCAACGACGATGATCGTTGTTGTAAATGCGCGAATAGAACTTGGCATCCAATGCATGAACTTGTTTATCTATAATTATCTTTCGTAGGCGCCTATCATTATCCGTGTTTCCACTTTATTATACTATATTTAGCTTGTACGCCATATTTCTACCTTTTATCTAGTTATGCACGAACAAATGTTATTAACGTTTTAACCATCATCATCATCATCATCATCATATCTCATTCTCTCTCTCTCTCTCTCTCTCTCTCTCTCTCTCTCTCTCTCTCTCTCTCTCTCTCTCTCTCTCTCCCTTTATCAATCTATTTATCTTCGAAATCGATACTGTTAGATCTTACGTTTAGAATTTACAATCTTTCACAAATTTACAATCGACTTAGTTACACAAAATATAACAATAGTAATAATAACAACAACAACAACAACAACAACAACAATAATAATAATAATAATAATAATAATAATAATAATGATGATAATGATAATGATAATAATAATGATGACGACTACGACGACGACGATGATGATGATGATGATAATGATAATTGAATTACAATCGTTAGTTTCGATTGAATCGAATCGAATCGAATCGACGATAACGAAAACGTTTTGGGTAAGTTAGTTCTCTTTGATAGGAATCGATTGTTGTTCGATTATTGAAAGCAAAGCAACGCAAATCGTGATTGGATCTTTAATGATCGAAGAAGTTGTATACCGATCGTCTCTATTCATCGACAAAGTTACATACGTTCATACATATGTACACATGTGAGTACATATGTACGTATATACGTAGACACATGTCCATTACACGTATGTCTCTCTCTCTCTCTCTCTCTCTCTCTCTCTTTCTCTCCCTCCCTGTGTATATATGTGTGTGTGTATATGTACATCGTTATCGATGTACATCGAGTTCATACATATGTACGTCTAGTTATCGTCGTCGTCATGTTGTCGTCGTTGTCGGACCCACGTTTAAATCACATTTGCTTTTATGAATTCGAAGATTCAATTTATACGGAACGAAATCGTTCGAGAATCAAATCGAATACGAAACCAATTGGTCAGGTTCTAACAATGATTTCGTCATTTACAATATCTCACGTCGTTCATTTTTATTCTTTTCCTTTGTTTCTTTTTTATCTTTTTTCTTTTTTTCTTTTTTTTTTTTTTTTTTGAGAATGAAACCAATACCTATTACATTCGGTACATTAAAGCGATTAAATTTATTCGATTAAATAAGAGGATTACGATGTTTATATTAAAATTAAAGTACATTTATAAAACTCATTCATTTTTATCATTTTTAACTATTATATATATAAGTAAAAAAAAAAAAAATAAATAAATAAAAGGATCGACTAGATGGACGAAAGATGAAAGATACAAATTTCGAAGGATATACGTATGTATATGTATGACAAATGTTATTTCATTAATCCATAATTACACGTTTTCTATTTTATATAGATTTAATCGAATTGAAAATATATATATATATATATGTATATGTATGTATATATAAATACACACACGCACATACACACACATATATATATATATATACAAGTATGTGTACGTTGAAGAAGATGTACTATATTCTCTTAGAGAAGAGATGATATTCTAAGATGTGCTTTCTCGGTTTCTCTTGGCACGATAAGCGCAAAATCCCGGTCCAATTAAATGTGGATTGTATTACGGATAGGTAAGTAAGACCGATCGATAAAGAGCAATTCTTGCGAAACTATCTTAACTATAAATTCTCTCTCTCTCTCTCTCTCTCTCTCTCTCTCTCTCCCGCTCTCTCTATTTCTCTTTCTCTTCCTTTACCCTTTAAGTGCTGTACACGATACGGCTACTTTAAAAGCGTATATCGAGCGAGGCCTATGTCTTACTTTGCTTTTTTATAAGCTATTATTACGGTTAAATTTGTATTATCGATTGTTAAACTGATCGAATTGAATTTGTTAAAAGAAAAAAAAAAAAAGAAAAGAGAGTGAAAGAAAGAGTAAGAGAGATAGAGAAGAGAAAAGGAAAACGATCAACTGAGAATAACAAATACAAAATGAAAAGAAAAGAGACCTGTTTGCGTTTCGTTGTCGATGACAAAGAATATCGTCAGTTATTTTGTGCATGCTATTGAATAAATGCATTTTATTCGAATTTTTCTTTTCTTTTCTTTTGATCCTTTTTGGCATTAATGTCAATGATAACAAATATATATATATATATACATATATATATATATATGTCATTTTGAGAAAATCGCATTATTTCGTTTCTTTTTCATCGCTGTGTACGATCGATCAGAGGATTTACTTTGTTCAGATTGTGGAGAAGGATAGCAGTGAGAGAGAAAAAGAAAGAAAAGAAAGATAATAAAAAATGGACTATTAAATTATTTTAATGATTTTTGCATAGGATCGTTAATTCCCCCATATCGTATAATTTTTATCGAAGAATAAGAACTCTTTGTTTCTTTTCTTTTTTTTTCTTTTTTTTTTTTTCTATTCATTTATTTATCATAACACACGTCATTAAATTTCGAATTTTCATTCCTTTTCTTTCGTTCTTGTTTTTTTTTTTTTTTTTTTCATTCGATTTTCCCTTTTCTTTTTATTTTTTCCCCCACTCTTCTCACAAATACGTCATTTCGTCGAAACAGAAGCAGTTACGTTTGAAACGCAATTCTTATCTACTCTTTATGTTCTATCCAATTTAGTAGGTTCTATCTAGACGCTAAAAAGGGAATCGGGACTTCATTAAAATTTATTTCAAGCACCGCGCATAAAGCTTTGTAAGTACTTATCTCGAGTATACGTCCTCACTTATAAGGAAAGAACGAGTTCCGAGTAAGTTCAAAAGAATGAGAGGAAATGAAATCTAGCTAGATCTTTCTTTCTTTCTTTCTTTCTTATTTCATCTTTTTCTTTTTTATGTCTTTTCTTTCTTTCTTTAATTTCTTTTTCCTCGTATTTTTCTTTTTTATCGTTAAACGTCAATTACAATCCTCGATTTGATTACGTGTAATTAATTAATTAAATATAATTAATGAATTGGAAATGATTATATGGAAAAGTTCGTCATAGATTTATAATTGTATATATATATATATACATAATATACATATAATATATACATATAATATATATATACGTATATATATATATTAGGTTGGAAACTATGAAACGGGCGTTTTTGTTTAGTTACTTATTTTCATTCAACGCCCGTTTCATAGTTTCCAATCTAATATATATAATTTATATTTGTAAATATTAATGAAACTGTTTTATCATCCGCGGTAGAAAGTATTTTTATCGATGATCGTTAACACATATCGACATTATCGTTTCACTTATCGACAATTTTGTTATAATTTTATATAAATTTAAAAAAAAAAAAAGAAAAAAACTGTTTTATCATACGTGGTATAATAATTATTGTCGATAACATTAAGAAGATATTACAGATATGTTGATGTGTTTTCTTTATCGACATTCTTACTTTCGATAAATTGCAAACATAACCTAATAGTTTTGAGAGGCAAGAGAAACAGCTTCAGGAGGATTAAATAACGAATCTAATCATGTCAGAAAATAAAAAGGATGATGCATCCTTGGGCGAATTATTTGACAATGCATTTTTATTATTCAATAATATTAATAAAACGGATGAGCCAACGAATAGCCCGAAAGTACAGGTAATAGAAAATAAATAAATATCTTATTCTAACCTCTTCTTTTGATTGTCATATATAAAAAAAGAATTTACAGCTTGAAACAAAGTTCTTTATTATAAGTTTCTATACATTTGTTACTCGTATAGTCTGACATCAGGAAAGCAATGAATATGTTTGAAGATTTAACAAGATTCGTATCTCTAGTGGACATGTTCAGTGAAAATGAAACTATCGATGAAGTATCAACGGAACATCTCAAATATCTTCTATTGCCGGCTCTTCTTGGTACTCTCATTACTAAAATATGTGGTACTGATGACAGAATGCATCTCGTCAAAGTAGCAGAGATCTATTTCATTGATTTTCTAAAGAGAGTAAAAGCTTATGAGCTCACAGATATAAATATTCTTGAACCTAAATCAGAGGAAGATAATAATGGTACTTCTAATGACAGAGTAAAAAGTAATGCTGAGATGATTACGGAAATGGTAATTTCTAATAATAATTAATCGTAATATTAAAGAAAATAATTTGAGTAATAATGTGTGTTCATAAATTTTTATATATTTCCATAGGTTTCTCGTCGAAATACAAAATTACAAAGATATAAAGAACAGAAGGAATTGGAAACATGTTTAGATGTATTGCAAAAAAATATGGATAATCCAAATATCGATGAAGATACTAAAAGAGAATACTTCATTACCCTTTTGAAATTATACATAAATCAAACAATTGAGGAATTGAGTTCGATAGCTGCTGAGAAACCTATTTTGGAGCATATGCAAAAAGTGGGACGTTCAGAGACAATGACATCTCATTCTTCGCAAAAATTTAAATCATCTAGTAATAAACTCCAACCAATTATTATTACTCGAAATGAGTTGCAAAAAAAAGTTTATGGCGCTGGATATCCTAGTCTTCCAGTATTAACAGTACAGGAATTTTATGACCAAAGAGTTAAAGATGGAGAGTAAGTATCCAATTTTTCAATCTAAATAAAATTAAAATAATTCAATCAAATATGAACAATAAAAATAACATAATTATTTTCTTTTTCAGCTGGCCTGATGCATCAGCACGTAATCAAATAAATTCTACATGTTTGCAAGATTTAGCAATTCGTGATAGTGATGATAATTCACAAGAATTAGAAGATATACAAAAGGAAGAAAAGATCGAAAAAGATGATCCACAATTTTTAGAACAAAATCGTGCAATGGATGAATATAAGGATATGCATCGTAGAGGATGGGGAAATCGTGCAAACAGAAGTTAAATCCACAATGATGTATCGATATCAATCACGAATAAATGAATAGTAGAACCAAAATAAAAAAAACTGTCAAAATTCCTTAATAAACTGCTAATATACATACATATAAATATTATACATTGTATTATACAGTGTCATACAACTTTAAGTTAAATAATATTACATTAAACAATATAAATTGTACAATATTGTATTATATTATATCGCAATTTATTATAATTAAGTAGGTAACCTTATAATTACTAAATACAATGTATTTTGTATATATAAAAAAATTAAAGAGAAAATAAACGAATATTGAAAATTAAATTATAATGCATTATTCTTGATTTCCATGTTTCCTCCAATCTTCAAAAAAATTCAAATTGCGGGAAAGATTATCAAACTAGGTAAATTAAATTTTTGAACAGGAGAACATGACATACCAGGAGGTGGCACGTTCTCGCATGCCACCTCTTCGCTCGTCATATGATCCTGTTACAATTCCAGTTTTGCGGGAAAAATTTTCACATGTCCAGTAATTTGGATTTTTGAACAGGAGAATATAACTTACCAGGAGGTAGTGCGCGAGAACGTGCTACCTCCTTGCAAGTCATATGATCCTGATACAAATCCAGTTTTACGGGAAAAATTTTCACATGTCCAGTAATTTGGACTTTTGAACAGGAGAATATGACATACCAGGTGGTGGCACGTTCTCGCATGCCACCTCTTCGCTCGTCATATGATCCTGTTACAATTCCAGTTTTACGGGAAAAATTTTCGAAGGCCCAGTAATTTGGATTTTTGAACAGGAGAATATAACTTACCAGGAGGTAGTGCGCGAGAACGTGCTACCTCCTTGCAAGTCATATGATCCTGATACAAATCCAGTTTTACGGGAAAGAAGTTTGCGGTCTCCGTAATTTGGATTTTTGAACAGGAGAACATGACATACCAGGAGATGGCACGTTCTCGCGTGCCACCTCTTCGCTCGTCATATGATCCTGTTACAATTCCAGTTTTGCGGGAAAAATTTACACATGTCCAGTAATTTGGATTTTTGAACAGGAGAATATAACTTACCAGGAGGTAGTGCGCGAGAACGTGCTACCTCCTTGCAAGTCATATGATCCTGATACAAATCCAGTTTTACGGGAAAGAAGTTTGCGGTCTCCGTAATTTGGATTTTTGAACAGGAGAACATGACATACCAGGAGGTGGCACGTTCTCGCGTGCCACCTCTTCGCTCGTCATATGATCCTGTTACAATTCCAGTTTTGCGGGAAAAATTTTCACATGTCCAGTAATTTGGATTTTTGAACAGGAGAATATAACTTACCAGGAGGTAGTGCGCGAGAACGTGCTACCTCCTTGCAAGTCATATGATCCTGATACAAATCCAGTTTTACGGGAAAGAAGTTTGCGGTCTCCGTAATTTGGATTTTTGAACAGGAGAACATGACATACCAGGAGGTGGCACGTTCTCGCGTGCCACCTCTTCGCTCGTCATATGATCCTGTTACAATTCCAGTTTTGCGGGAAAAATTTTCACATGTCCAGTAATTTGGATTTTTGAACAGGAGAATATAACTTACCAGGAGGTAGTGCGCGAGAACGTGCTACCTCCTTGCAAGTCATATGATCCTGATACAAATCCAGTTTTACGGGAAAGAAGTTTGCGGTCTCCGTAATTTGGATTTTTGAACAGGAGAACATGACATACCAGGAGGTGGCACGTTCTCGCATGCCACCTCTTCGCTCGTCATATGATCCTGTTACAATTCCAGTTTTACGGGAAAAATTTTCGAAGGCCCAGTAACTTGGATTTTTGAACAGGAGAATATGACATACCAGGAGGTAGTGCGCGAGAACGTGCTACCTCCTTGCAAGTCATATGATCCTGATACAAATCCAGTTTTACGGGAAAAATTTTCGAAGGCCCAGTAACTTGGATTTTTGAACAGGAGAATATGACATACCAGGAGGTGGCACGTTCTCGCGTGCCACCTCTTCGCACGTCATATGATCCTGTTACAATTCCAGTTTTGCGGGAAAAATTTTCACATGTCCAGTAACTTGGATTTTTGAACAGGAGAATATGACATACCAGGAGGTAGTGCGCGAGAACGTGCTACCTCCTTGCAAGTCATATGATCCTGATACAAATCCAGTTTTATGGGAAAGAAGTTTGCGGTCTCCGTAATTTGGATTTTTGAACAGGAGAACATGACATACCAGGAGGTGGCACGTTCTCGCGTGCCACCTCTTCGCACGTCATATGATCCTGTTACAATTCCAGTTTTGCGGGAAAAATTTTCACATGTCCAGTAACTTGGATTTTTGAACAGGAGAATATGACATACCAGGAGGTAGTGCGCGAGAACGTGCTACCTCCTTGCAAGTCATATGATCCTGATACAAATCCAGTTTTATGGGAAAGAAGTTTGCGGTCTCCGTAATTTGGATTTTTGAACAGGAGAACATGACATACCAGGATGTGGCACGTTCTCGCGTGCCACCTCTTCGCTCGTCATATGATCCTGTTACAATTCCAGTTTTGCGGGAAAAATTTTCACATGTCCAGTAATTTGGATTTTTGAACAGGAGAATATAACTTACCAGGAGGTAGTGCGCGAGAACGTGCTACCTCCTTGCAAGTCATATGATCCTGATACAAATCCAGTTTTACGGGAAAAATTTTCGAAGGCCCAGTAACTTGGATTTTTGAACAGGAGAATATGACATACCAGGAGGTGGCACGTTCTCGCGTGCCACCTCTTCGCTCGTCATATGATCCTGTTACAATTCCAGTTTTGCGGGAAAAATTTTCACATGTCCAGTAATTTGGATTTTTGAACAGGAGAATATAACTTACCAGGAGGTAGTGCGCGAGAACGTGCTACCTCCTTGCAAGTCATATGATCCTGATACAAATCCAGTTTTACGGGAAAGAAGTTTGCGGTCTCCGTAATTTGGATTTTTGAACAGGAGAATATGACATACCAGGAGGTAGTGCGCGAGAACGTGCTACCTCCTTGCAAGTCATATGATCCTGATACAAATCCAGTTTTACGGGAAAGAAGTTTGCGGTCTCCGTAATTTGGATTTTTGAACAGGAGAACATGACATACCAGGAGGTGGCACGTTCTCGCATGCCACCTCTTCGCTCGTCATATGATCCTGTTACAATTCCAGTTTTGCGGGAAAAATTTTCACATGTCCAGTAATTTGGATTTTTGAACAGGAGAATATAACTTACCAGGAGGTAGTGCGCGAGAACGTGCTACCTCCTTGCAAGTCATATGATCCTGATACAAATCCAGTTTTACGGGAAAGAAGTTTGCGGTCTCCGTAATTTGGATTTTTGAACAGGAGAATATGACATACCAGGAGGTAGTGCGCGAGAACGTGCTACCTCCTTGCAAGTCATATGATCCTGATACAAATCCAGTTTTACGGGAAAGAAGTTTGCGGTCTCCGTAATTTGGATTTTTGAACAGGAGAACATGACATACCAGGAGGTGGCACGTTCTCGCATGCCACCTCTTCGCTCGTCATATGATCCTGTTACAATTCCAGTTTTGCGGGAAAAATTTTCACATGTCCAGTAATTTGGATTTTTGAACAGGAGAATATAACTTACCAGGAGGTAGTGCGCGAGAACGTGCTACCTCCTTGCAAGTCATATGATCCTGATACAAATCCAGTTTTACGGGAAAAATTTTCACATGTCCAGTAATTTGGACTTTTGAACAGGAGAATATGACATACCAGGTGGTGGCACGTTCTCGCATGCCACCTCTTCGCTCGTCATATGATCCTGTTACAATTCCAGTTTTGCGGGAAAAATTTACACATGTCCAGTAATTTGGATTTTTGAACAGGAGAATATAACTTACCAGGAGGTAGTGCGCGAGAACGTGCTACCTCCTTGCAAGTCATATGATCCTGATACAAATCCAGTTTTACGGGAAAGAAGTTTGCGGTCTCCGTAATTTGGATTTTTGAACAGGAGAACATGACATACCAGGAGGTGGCACGTTCTCGCGTGCCACCTCTTCGCTCGTCATATGATCCTGTTACAATTCCAGTTTTGCGGGAAAAATTTTCACATGTCCAGTAATTTGGATTTTTGAACAGGAGAATATAACTTACCAGGAGGTAGTGCGCGAGAACGTGCTACCTCCTTGCAAGTCATATGATCCTGATACAAATCCAGTTTTACGGGAAAGAAGTTTGCGGTCTCCGTAATTTGGATTTTTGAACAGGAGAACATGACATACCAGGAGGTGGCACGTTCTCGCATGCCACCTCTTCGCTCGTCATATGATCCTGTTACAATTCCAGTTTTACGGGAAAAATTTTCGAAGGCCCAGTAACTTGGATTTTTGAACAGGAGAATATGACATACCAGGAGGTAGTGCGCGAGAACGTGCTACCTCCTTGCAAGTCATATGATCCTGATACAAATCCAGTTTTACGGGAAAAATTTTCGAAGGCCCAGTAACTTGGATTTTTGAACAGGAGAATATGACATACCAGGAGGTGGCACGTTCTCGCGTGCCACCTCTTCGCACGTCATATGATCCTGTTACAATTCTAGTTTTGCGGGAAAAATTTTCACATGTCCAGTAACTTGGATTTTTGAACAGGAGAATATGACATACCAGGAGGTAGTGCGCGAGAACGTGCTACCTCCTTGCAAGTCATATGATCCTGATACAAATCCAGTTTTATGGGAAAGAAGTTTGCGGTCTCCGTAATTTGGATTTTTGAACAGGAGAACATGACATACCAGGATGTGGCACGTTCTCGCGTGCCACCTCTTCGCTCGTCATATGATCCTGTTACAATTCCAGTTTTGCGGGAAAAATTTTCACATGTCCAGTAATTTGGATTTTTGAACAGGAGAATATAACTTACCAGGAGGTAGTGCGCGAGAACGTGCTACCTCCTTGCAAGTCATATGATCCTGATACAAATCCAGTTTTACGGGAAAAATTTTCGAAGGCCCAGTAACTTGGATTTTTGAACAGGAGAATATGACATACCAGGAGGTGGCACGTTCTCGCGT